TATTCTTTGATTCGGCGAAAGCCTTCAGAAATCGATTTTTCATTTTAGATGAGATTCCAGTCTTATATTCAAGTTTTGCTTAATGTCTAAACATTTGAATTCTTTGTATTGAATACAAATGAAACCGATTTACAGCAATAATGATTGTGTCTTTGAATGTCATCACTTCTGATAAATAATTCTTGTATCCAAGCATTTGATAAAAACAGAAAAAATCTATTCATTAAAATATGAATTAATATAAATCACACAATTCTCAAATTCCTTAGACATTAATTATTAATTTATTGCTATTATTGTTGTTGTGCTAAAAATGCATATTTCATTTATATCACTAAAAAATTTTACATTTATTATTAAACAAATATTCTATATATTTTCCAACTAAATAATACATTTGATATTAAATATTTTTATACTAGAATATTAACAATAATTTGTAATTTAATTAAATTTTAAAATTCTGTATTCTTTAGTGTTATTATTTTAATATAAAATTATTTGTATCTAAAATTTAAATCAAATTTGCAATAAATTTGTTCAAAAAATTATTTGTCAAAAGAAAACTTATTTCTATTCATAAAATTCAAACCAAACGCTATTATAAATGTGAATATCTATGGAAAACTAAATTAAATCGAAAACTTGTAAAACTCTTTTTTTGTGAATTTGTTTTTTTGTTTTGATCACAAAATGTCACTCAAATCCTCTTTTTGCTCTGCCTTTAGAGCCGTTTCTTAAGATAAGCACCAAATAGTGATGTGTTTTTCTTTTAAAATAAATCGATTTCTCTTTTATTTATTCATAATATGCTTCAAAAATATAAAAGTATTTCTATAATAAAAATTACATGATTTGCGAGAAACTAATCATAAAGTAATGCAAACCACAGATTGATTTATATAATAAATATTTAATGAATGTGCCGTACGATTGATAATATACTTGTATATAACTTAAGTTTTATTACGATCGTAACGAAAAACGCTGAAAACATTAAAAATTTAGTTTTTATTAAACTTACATGAGTTTATATTAAACTTAAATAAATATATAATAATATTATATAATATGTATATATAGACTAACTTAAGGCTAAATACCAGATCGAAGTGAAACACAAATTTGAATGTTTTTATCAAAATTAATATAAATGATGAATAAATTCGAAAATAAGATTATATTAATATGTTTTACAAAAATTAAAATATTTTTTAACATAAATTAATAATAATTTTAATTTTATTAAAATATTTGAATGGATGGAGAATTTTATAAATTTTTAATATTAATGTTATGTCATAACAAAAATAGAGTTTCGAAATGAAATGCATTGTACAGTATACATTATAAAAGTAATCTAATATAAAACTTATTATTTTGTTACTTATATTTACTGTTCATGTATTTTAAGTCATTTCATATACAATACTATTCTTTGTATTTCAAACAGAATCTCATTTTGACTTATATTTGACGTAAAATACAAACAATAAATTTATACAAAATCCTAAAAAGCACTTCAAAAACATTTGAAATTTTAATTTTAATTGCATTTAATTTCGTCAAAACAAATATTGAAAACAAATAAACAACACAATACTCTATTCACTAAATATAAAGTATATTTGAAACATAAAAAAGATGTGCAAATAAATCAAATATAAGTTTGGGAACAATTTCTGGTGATTGGACGGCAGATAAGGCAGGGATGGTATGGTATGGTAGGTATGGATGGTATGGATGAGATGTTATGCATAGAGCGTACGGTTAAAGCGATTTCAAGTTCAATCACAAGAAATGCCGAAAAGTTAACCTCAAAAAAGGCAGAGTTTGTGATTGTGAGCACCGATTCATTAATTATTATATCAAATGCTTTTATGATTTCCACATTTTTACCATTAAATAGTGTTCATATTTATTATAATTAATATGATTCAATGAAAATGTCAAAAATGTGTCCAAATATGTTCGTATTTGGTGTTAATTTAATGGTTTGCCTGTCTTTGCATACAATACTGGTGGAGATGACGGAAGCGATTGATAACGATATGAAGTACGAGTTGTTGGGCTCCAGAAGCGGAACAAACCTGAGTTTAAGCCATGCCATCACTGACTCCAACTCCAACTCGTATTACATAACAAAAAATAGCATTCATTCAAATATAGTGATGCCTTCGGGCGATACACCGCTCACTGAAACCGGTAACTAATCCTACAATTAATTATGAATTTTCAATTATTTCTCTGTCTTTCAAAAAATATAATTAGATTCAAAACATGTTTAAATTTCATGTTTTCTTTACTATTTTCGTATTCCTTATAGATATAAAAATAAAATTAAATAATCATTTATTTATGAATAAACTATTTCAAAAAAAAACTTTAATTTAATTGATTTTTGCTTTTTTGAACAAATATTAATAATTGATGTATTATTTGAAGACAAGCCCACGAAAGTGAGCACCGGTTCCAACCTATTGGTGCGCTGTTATGGCAAATACGGATGTTTTTCAATCGCAGAGCCCTTTTTGTCAATCTATAGACCGATTAATTTATATCCAATTCCTGTCGATATATTAAAAGTAGAGTTTCTTCTGAAGACTCGACGAAATGCGGAAAAATTCGAGAAAATAATTGCCAAAAATGACGGCTCGTATGATATACTGGACTTCAATCCGAAAAATGATCTCAAAATCATAATTCATGGCTATCTCGAGCATGGATTTCAATCGTGGATCAAAGTATATACAAATCTTCTCACAAACTTCTATTAAGACATTCGTTTATTTCCAAGAGTTTATAAATAGGAAACAAACAGTCCTTCAAATAATAAGGGAAACAAAAAATTAAAAATTGACGTCAATTTCAGAAAAAGGTGTCAGAAGTTTGCAAAACGATTAATATTTTTAAAATAAACTTTTATTAATACATCTATTTATTCAATAGATTTTTTAAATACCGCTTAAAAACACTAATCCGTATAAAAAGCAAAAACACACGAATTAATGATTAATTTGAAATGAATCCAAAATAACTGTTAAAATACAATGAATTATTTCTTTACAAGTCGTTTGTCATAAACAAGTTGTGGATTAAATGTTTTCAGAAATTGTATAGTCTTTGGGGAGGATGTGCTAAATCCTAATACAAAATAATTTAAAAATATAACATTTTATTCAATTAGTTGTGATATTTTTGTTGTAATTTATTTGTTAATCCACAGGACATGTCAATAGAGTTATTGAGCAAAAGTGATTACAATATCATAAGCATTGATTGGATGATTGGCGCGAATCCGCCGTACACTCAGGCCGTGGCCAACGCCAGACTCGTGGCCGCCATCGCTGTGCAACTCTTGAAGTCGATTCAAGTAATCGTAGAAATTAATAATCAAAACATTTTTTATTTAATTAAACATTTTTAACACTTAGAAACAATACGTGGATTATTCTGCCCTAAGAATACACTTAATTGGTCACAGTCTGGGCGCACACATTGCCGGATATATTGGCCAACGTTTTGCCGGTTTGGGCAGAATTACCGGTTTGTCATTTTATTAATTATATTTTAAGAATCTCTATAATTAACTTATATTTCATTTGAAATATAAGATGGGATTATGTATTACATGTAAAACCCATCAGTTGTGCTCTTTATATGAGTTTATAGTTAGGATAGGATTACTAATTCTTTCAAACGGCAAATAATGGATTAAATATAAAATTCTTGTAGAAATTCAATCATTAATAATAATTGATTTGTTAACAATTGAAACAATTTTATTTTGAAAACTTTCAAACTTTATAATAAATATTTGGTTTTATGTCCGGAAAAATCAATTGAAAATATGAAATGTTGCAATGCATGTGTCATAAAATGACAAGTTTTCAAGTTATGGCCAGAAATGGTTGTAAAATAATAGACTCGTAGGCATTGTTTGGTGAGAACTGAACACAACTTTGACACAAGCGATACCCGATTGATGTTTGCGTAGAAACCAATACTTATGAAAGATTTACTCTATTTTTCTTAAGCAAAAACCTATTTTTCTTGTTAATGTCTGTCTTATTTTCTAATAATACATGACATATAATACTCTATAAAACTCTAGTCTTTTATTCAGTAAACTTTATGAAATTAATGGATAAAAATTCAATATTTTTTGAAATTAGTTTTAAATCAGATTTTGATATATTTTTGCAATTTATTGATTTTCAACACAAAAAGAAGTTATTTCAGCGAATTATCGATTCGTTGAGATTCTCTTATTTTTGTCCAAATTTTTCAGTCGACAAATTACTCGCGGCTAACAATCCAATCGGTTATTACATAATACACAATACACTTCACTTCACTTTTTAAGTCTAAACAAAAATAAAGATATTTTTTTGACCAAAAACTAAAACTATTGCTGGCCTTAAGGCTTGTGTTTAGATGACTGAATGCTTTTGTTATCGACAACTAATAGAAGTTGAATTCAACTATTGTTACCTATTGTTGCCGATTGTATGCTCACAGCTCTCACAGCCCTTCCTCTTCAGTCTTCATAAATCAAATAACGAAAATTTGTTACACAATTCAGACAATACTATTCCGGCGCTCATTATCTCTAATGAATCTCTAATAGAAACTCAACTAAACATCAAACAAACGATTCGCAAACCAAACAAACAATTTTTTCCTCAAAATGTTTTTATCATTCATAAACTTATGATCATTTTTAATACCACTTTCTTTGCTAAGAACTGCAAAAACACTTCAAATCCTAATCTTAGATTAATTTGATCTTTCATATAACATGTTTGATAACTCAGTAATTCATAACTTATATAATATACCGTAATATACTACAGTATACTTATCATTATAATTGGTCCAACATTTTATAAAATAAAATTATTTGTTATATATTTAGTTTATATTAATTAAATCATGTTAACCATTAAGAGGAGCTATTGATTTATGAATTACAATATTTTCACATTAATTTCAGTTAATTAAACTTTAATTAAAATGCAGTTTAAGTAGAATGTTATGTATTGTTGTATAGTTGTATGCTTAATCATGTAAATCAACGAGTTTAAATTTAATAGAGCTAAACAAATGAAGATAAAACGTGTATAATAAATATGATGTGTATGTGGTATAGGTCTAGACCCGGCTGAGCCCTACTTTCAAAACACTGATCCAAGCGTTCGTTTGGATAAAAGCGATGCAATGTTTGTCGATGTCATTCATACGGACGCCTCAAGTATTATGTGAGACATACTTATAGAAAATGTTTTTAAAAGCGAATATAAAATAGTTTAATACACTTGTATTCGCAGCACCGGTGGGTTCGGTATGAGCCAGGGATGCGGACACGTCGACTTCTATCCCAATGGAGGTGAACTGCGATTCTGTATAACAGTATATAGTATTAAAGTTGCATACAATGATTGAATTGATAGGTTGGCGACAACCGGGTTGTAGCGAAACACCCCTTAAAACAGTTTTCGATTCAATTGGCAAAGAGAGGAATGTCATCCACGGTTAGTGTCTCTTATATACCATTTTCCATACGTTTGTCAAGTATTTGAAAATTGAATTTTTGAGTTTTAATTGATTGCTTGAAGGCATTCGTCGATTCATTGGGTGCTCTCATATCCGGGCATTTCTATTGTTCACGGAATCCATAAACACTGATTGTAAGCGCTTTTATGTTTAACTACAACTCTTTTGATCATAAATTTTTGCTCAAATTAATAATTTTTGCCGGAGATTAACAAAAAATAGCAAATATTTCTCTATTATACAGCGATTATCAGTAAATCTATTACTAAAATATGATATAAGAATTTAAAGAATTTGTGTTTGAAATGCCAACCAAAAGGTCCATTCATGGCATACGAGTGCTCGAGTTATGATGAATTCGCTTCAGGTCTCTGTACTAAAGGCAAGAATTCGTGTCCATTCAGTCATCAACTATTGGATAACAATAGTCACAGCAATAGAACCGATCGAAACGATTTACAGTCTTTACAGCCTTTACAGCACTTGCAATGTTTGCAAATGGGGTTCAATGCTCACAAAAGCTGGTCATCACTTCATAAATACATGAATACAAACCCACAAACAGCCAGAAGTGAGGGCTCAAGAGATGCCAAGTATTTCCTGTGGACCAGCGATCGGACGCCTTATTGTCTTTTCCATTATCGCATTCAACTCATCTTCAGATCCGATATAAGCACTTCATTCCCAGAAAAGGGTCGTCTATTCGTACAGGTCTTCGGCACCAAAGGCTCCACACAATCGGTCGATGCGACCAAAGAGTTAGTCTAAACTTCATTCCTAGATATCAATCTATGGATCGCTTTTTTATGCCCAATCTTTTGTTACACTTTCAGCGCACAGTTGAGTGAAAGCATTGATTTTGTCATAAGCTCTGCAAACATCGGATCTGTTGTTCGACTCGAACTCCAGTATAAGTCGAGCCCTACTTTAGTGATGAATTTGAAAAACAATAAAAAACTAAAGTATTTAAATGACAAATGTTTGCTTTAAAATGCAATATTTTTCCAATAATCTGATAATTTTCTTATATTTTGTTCAACTTTTCAATTATAATCATTTCAAATATAATCTTTTGTTACACTTTCAGCGCACAGTTGAGTGAAAGCATTGATTTTGTCATAAGCTCTGCAAACATCGGATCTGTTGTTCGACTCGAACTCCAGTATAAGTCGAGCCCTACTTTAGTGATGAATCCGTTGAGATGGAGATTAAATGATTCAAACGATTCCAACCAAATCTATTTGATTCAAATCACTGTCACTAATCTCGAGACCGGCTATAAGTAAGACCAAAACTTGAGCACAAATAATACCAATAAATGTTTAATCAAATAATTTTTTTATTTAATAAGAGCAACATTTTGTGACGAAAACAATGTTTTAAAAACAAATGAAATTAAGTATTTATTCAAACGATGCAAATAATGATCGACAACTAGTTTTTGGTATTAATCTAATATAAAGTATTGTTTTATATCTATATTCATAACAATTATTTATCTTTTATTATAAATTTTTATTTTGAAAAACAATAAAAAACTAAAGTATTTAAATGACAAATGTTTGCTTTAAAATGCAATATTTTTCCAATAATCTGATAATTTTCTTATATTTTGTTCAACTTTTCAATTATAATCATTTCAAATANTTAGTGATGAATTTGAAAAACAATAAAAAACTAAAGTATTTAAATGACAAATGTTTGCTTTAAAATGCAATATTTTTCCAATAATCTGATAATTTTCTTATATTTTGTTCAACTTTTCAATTATAATCATTTCAAATAGAAAAACAAATCAAATATAAAAGTATTTCAATAACTGTTATAATGTATCAAATAATGAGAAATTAGGGCTAAAACAACAGAATAGATGCCCACAAAAAAGTTAAAAATCTATTAATCCCAGTCGTCAGCGGCGGCCGTCGACGCAGCGGTGGTTTCCTATCAAATAACAAAATAATTACAATTATATTCGACACAAAACAAGTCATTGTAAGTCTTACTCCTCCGCGAACATCAGTGCCTCCGAAGTCCGCTGAGTTATAGTCGGTGCGGACGCCCGACGACGAGTCGCGCAGAAACTGCGGCACCTCTTGATCCGCGCCCTCCAAGATCTTCACGAGGCTTGCGGTGAGAGTCACGTCGTTATCACTGGACGGGTCGAAGAAAGAGGTGGCCTTTCCTATGTTGCCGACACGACCCGTACGGCCGATGCGATGGACGTACTCATCGATAGTATTGGGCAAATCGTAATTAATAACGTGTTTCACGTCTTTGATGTCGAGTCCGCGCGCGGCCACAGAAGTGGCCACAAGTACTGGCATTCGTCCCGAGCGGAAGTCGAACAACGCCTGCTCTCGTTGGCCCTGAAAGCGGTCGCTGTGTATGGATGTAGTCATCAAATTCTTCTGCGAGAGGAACGACGCGATGAAGTCCGCCGTCTTCTTCCTCTCCACGAATATCAAAGTCCTGTCATTAGAGTCGCAACTCTGCAACACATCCATCAGTTTCGAGCGCTTCTGTTTGCCGTCCACTTCGACAAACGCTTGGGTGACGTCAGCGTTGGCCGAACCGATGATACCAACCGTTATGAATATGTAGTTCTCATTGAGAAACTCTTGCGCCAAACGTTGCACTTCTTCGGGAAAAGTGGCCGAAAACATAAGCGTCTGTCTCTCGTTCTTGTGAGGCATCGTCTCGTGATTAACCATTCGGCGCACCTCTGGGAGGAAGCCCTGATCGATCATACGGTCCGCTTCGTCCAAAACCAAGTACTTTAAGTTCCCGAACGATATCTTGCCCTTCGAGACGAAGTCCAGAAGCCGTCCCGGAGTCGCCACCAGGAGGTGAGCGCCGCGAGAGATGTTCGCCAATTGATAGCCCGACGAAGTGCCGCCGTAGACCAGACACGGCTTAACGATACTGCCCTTCGCGAACTTCACCGCTTCCGTGTGGATCTGAATGGCCAGTTCACGGGTCGGAGAGATGATCACACAGAGCGGCTCCTGTACTGCCTGTCCGTACAGCGAAGGCAAGTCTGTCATTGACAACAAGTCTTGAAGAATTGGCAAAATAAAAGCCGCAGTCTTTCCAGAGCCGGTCTGAGCGCAGGCCATGAGATCACGCTTTGCGGCGATTATAGGAATGGCGTACTTCTGAACCGGCGTCGGTTTAGTATATTTGCATTTCTCGATCGCTTCAGTCATTAGCGGACTTTTGATGATATCGGAGAAGGCGTTGATGGCTTCGGGCGGCAGTTTGCCGGACACACTCACCTTAATCTTGTCATATCTGTCAAAATTGATGCCCTGAGGGGTCGTGTTATACAAGTCCTCAGAGTCTTCGTCCACTTGTTTCGGCCGATAAGGCGGCGGAAGGGGTTTGCCGTCCTCTCCCAACACCTCTTCAGTACATTCGGCCGCTTTGTGGCCCTCTTTCTTACAGCGCCGGCACTCGTTAGG